AATGAAGTAAGGCCAGATTTAGTTTTAGAATTTTTATCTAAGATCAAATTTAAAAACTTAATTTAACTTAACTAACCTTGTGCTCGCCATGAATATAGCCGAGGTAGCTCGCATAGCATTAAATCATAAACAAACAAAATCTATTGTTCTGTCGTTCTATCTATCATTCTGTCATTCTATCTATCGTTCTATCATCTGTCCATCTATCGTTCTATCATTCTATTATTCTATCATTCTATCATCCGTCCATCTATCTATCGTTCTATCATTCTATCTATCGTTCTATCTATCTATCTATCTATCTATCGTTCTATCATCTGTCCATCTATCGTTCTATCATTCTATTATTCTATCATTCTATCTATCATTCTATCATCCGTCCATCTATCTATCGTTCTATCATTCTATCTATCGTTCTATCAATCCATCCATCAATCCATCCATCCATCATTCTATCTATCTATCATTCTATTGGTTGGTCTATTGTTCTATCATTTCATCCATCCATTCGTCATTCTATCTGTTGTTCGCTCTATCGCTCCATCCATCCATTGATCTGTTGTTTTGTCTATCTATCCATCGTTCTATCTGTCTGTTGTTCTATCTGTCGTACTACCATTTGTATAAATATTAATAAATTTACAAGTTTTACAATTTTCATTCATTCATCCATCCATCCAAAAATGTTCTATCGTTCTATCTATCTATCTATCTATCTAGCGTTCTATCATCTGTCCATCTATCGTTCTATCATTCTATTATTCTATCATTCTATCTATCATTCTATCATCCGTCCATCTATCTATCGTTCTATCATTCTATCTATCGTTCTATCAATCCATCCATCAATCCATCCATCCATCATTCTATCTATCTATCATTCTATTGGTTGGTCTATTGTTCTATCATTTCATCCATCCATTCGTCATTCTATCTGTTGTTCGCTCTATCGCTCCATCCATCCATTGATCTGTTGTTTTGTCTATCTATCCATCGTTCTATCTGTCTGTTGTTCTGTTGTTCTATCTGTCGTACTACCATTTGTATAAATATTAATAAATTTACAAGTTTTACAATTTTCATTCATTCATCCATCCATCCAAAAATGTTAAAAACAGAAGATTTTACATTGTTCGTTGTTTAGACTGTTGGACCTGAGGTGGATTTATGGCAAAACAGACGCAGTTATCAGGTTATGCTGATCTCACAATGTCATTAAAAAAATCATCATCTTCAGTATGTCTTTACATCATTACCTGTAACGTAACATCAAGATCCTTTTAATCTCCATTTAGCAACTCTAAACGGCTACAAATGGTTATGGAAAAGGGTTTTGTTGAATCTGAAAACTATTGAAACCCTCTTGACTGAAACCATGTTAACGTAAGCTGTGGCTCCTTAAGAAAACTGGAATGAAAATCTCTGATCCGGTTGAGAGCTTCTTCAGTGGTTCTCTCAGACCTCAGCTTTTCATTGCTAAAAATGTCACCTCCTGTGGCATTACATCACATACGCAAAGCGAGGCGTGGATAAACATGGGTGTGTGTTTTGCATGCTGTGTTTCTTTCTCTTTCCGGGTGTGTGCTCTGTTACGCTCCTCACACAGCATCCTGCTGGAGTGTGTGTTATTTCAGCACTGCGGGCCACGTTTAATAAAAGTGATGCTCGCTAGTTTGAATTCTGCTTTGCTGTTCGATTAGTGTAACTTTGTCACAGGATTTAAGGATATTTAGCTCAAGGTATTCCCAAAACATGCCACTTCCTTCTGGTTTTCATGTAATATTAAACCAAGGAAAGGCGTTGGGTTTTTGTTGTTGGTAAATGTGTTAAGCAATACCTCATGTAATGAAAAGCAGGACATATTTAAATATTTACAGAGGGATTCTTCCCTGCTGAACTTTTCCAAATTAATCTCTTATCAAACAATGACTTTAGCTGGCCGGTATCGGTGTAGATGCTTCAGAGATGCTTGAGCGCTCAGCCGGATCACGAACACCTCAGGTTTCCATAAGACCAGAGGAGGATCATTCTGTCATTGTGGCGGGATTTGCGTCTGAGAAACTTATCCATCATTAAAGTCAACATGAAATCAAAATTGACCTTCTGGCTGTTTACTATAGACTGTTTACTTTCTTAAACCATGCTTTATGAATTATTCAGCAGTGCGTGTTATTCCAATGAAACCTATGTTTGACTTAATAATTTTTTATCAAAATGTAGTGACTTTTGCTGCCTCTAAAACAGACAAATCCTCATCCCCCCCCCAATCCTCCAATCAAAGTCATATCAAGACAGTTGTTACCATCTAATTGATTACCGGTGAAAATTTGAAAAGGTTTTTTTTTTGGTTATTTTTCCAGGATGATGTTTCACTCAGAAATGCATCACATTACGGATGTAAAACAGGTTGTGAACCCTGTTGACTTTGAAGAAGTCCTTCTTTGTTTTATATTGTATATTTATAGGCATTCCTGTTGCTCAAACAGTAGAGAAAGGCATCATGGGTCATGAGTTTGATTCTCATACAAAGAAATATTATGTATGATATGTTGTATGATACAACATATGGTCAAATATGTTTAATATTTCTTGAATATATGCAGTGTCTGTGACTTTGGATGCCTAAATATAAATGGATTGCAGTAGCAAAACAAATGCTGTAGAATTTACTTTGAAACCATTTTTGCTCAGAAATTTTCACACAAAGATGCGGCAAGTAACACATTGAATTAACCATTTATTTTATTTACTTGAAAACTTAAAATTTCTTTTCTTTTTTTCTTTTTATTTTACAGTGCAGCATTTAGTGATGCAGATTTTTCATGAGAATTATTAAATAAAATTTTTAAATATAAAAACTGAAATGCTATTTTTTTTATGTGTATTCCAAGAATATTTGTTTTATTTACTTGTAAACTTAAGTAAACTTAAGAGAAATCATTTTTACAGTGATGTTTTTTTTCATGTAAAATATTAAATATTTCAATTAGTTAACTTTTTACTTGTCAATATTTAAAAAAAATATATTTTTATTTTATAACTTAAAAAAAAACTGGACAAATGTCTCTACTCAAACGCATTATAGAGCCATGACTTTTTAAAATTAAAATAATTGTATTTATTAATAAGGTCAATTATATTATTCTGATCTCGATTAGTTCTGTGAAACAAAGCAAAACCAATGTTACACCGTGTCTACACCGGACGTGAGTGGTGTGGCGTGACAAAATACTATTGAACTCATAATCAGTGATGCTGTCTACACCATAGATATATACACATATCTATGGTCTACTCTGGATGCGGTGCGGCACGACACGACAAATCCCCGACAGAAAACTGCTGCTGCGTTCTATTCATGACGTATTGACACAATTTATTTTCAACGGTCGCTTTGTCGCGTCCAGTGTACTTGACAGACTTTAGCTGTTGCGGCGCAGACACGGTGTTACTCACCTATCGAGAAAAAGCAACCTTGGCGTCCGATCGCAGGCCTTCCGCTCCTTGAGTTCTCTCCAGGTCTGGAAAGCTGATCCGATATTTACACCGGTCCTACTTCTTGCCTTAAGCCTTCTTTTGTTCCGCAGACGTTTTGCTCTTTTGTTTTTTATCGGCCATCTCTATCTTTCTGTCGCTCGGATCGTACTGAACGCTCTCTCCTTCACATCATGAGTAGACACGCCCCTTACTGCTGATTGGCTACAAGTTTGTTTTGCTATTCGGCCCGAATCAGTTTTCTAAAGCGTTTTTGAAAAATCGCTTACCCCACCTTTAATGTAGAAACAACATAAAGACAGTATATTTTTAATATTTGTTTAGTGTCATCATTTTTTATGACTGAAGGAGAGTATCACTGATACAAATATATATATATATATATATATATATATATATATGTATATGTTTGTATATGTTTGTTTGTTTGTTTGTTTGTTTGTGTATATTACTTATGAAAATGTCATCATCCGACCTAGATCCTATCAGAACTAAACAAGCTGAAGTGACACTGTGTGTTTTACTGTCTCTAGTCGTATGGATGCATGTGCAGCTGTGGTTTGCTGTGTTTTCTGAGTGCTGGTGTTGTGTGATGCTGGAGATTATGTGGCGTTAACTTACCTGTGAGGCCACAGCTGAGTGTCGGGGTGGAGTCTGATGAACGTCAGCCACGTTCGTTTGACAGGAAGCTTTTTATATCGAAGCAGATGAAAAGTGCTGATATCATCAGAATATCTTTTCACCAGCGGCACGTTCTGTCCTGTAAAGCGTCCCTGTGTCAAAGTTTGACTAGTTTTTTTGTATTCAGTTTTTGCGTAATTCATTTCATACCTTTCATTGTCATCATGAACAATGGACTTTCTGCAGAATTGAGAAATACATACAGTATGAAAACATACAGTATGAAAAATTTTATATATATGCATGTAAAATAACACAAATATATTTTACCTTAATTTTTTGTCAAGTATTTATATATATATAAAATATTTTTAGTATTATAATTTTGTTGTGTTTTCTGTCATTTTTATGGCTTTTTATTAGATTTAGTTTTATTACATCAAGTAGTAGTAGTTTTAGTTATTTTAGCACTTCAGTTACTAATTATTTATGAAAATGAAAAATGTTGCCTTGGCAGCTAGCTAAAATAAATACAAAAGTTAATTTATGTTTTTAAATATTTGATTTCAAATAACAGCTTTTTATGGTTTTAGTTATAATAACATAGAATTTTTGTCTTAAATTTGTAATGTACTTAATGTACTAAATAATATTGTACATCAGTAATGTAATGATCCAGTGCCGCTGGTTACCAGCGTTTTGTAAGAGTGTTGTATGTTTAGTGTGTGTAGTGGAAAATGTGTGTTTTTCTGCATGGTGTTAGCCAGCCAAATCAGTGTTTTGACATGTTGCTGCACGACACGCAAATCTGTCGATTACTGTCTCTCTGTGCTGTTTAAAAGCCTTAATGTAATAATTGTGTGTCTTTTCTGGGAGCAGAGGGTCTCTCAGGATGAGTGCTCGAGTGCGGGCCGCTTCCCAGGGTTCTCTGGAGGAGCCAGATGACGAGGTGGTGCCCTACAGTGACGACGAGACAGACGACGAGTTACAGTCGGAAGATGATCTGGATCGCAGAGAAGACCAGCTCCCAGAACCGGAAACCATACCCGCACCTGCCGCCGGTGAGCTTGAGGACGGATCTGGTGTGAAAGTGTCCCGTCAGTACTTGTTCTATGTCCTGATTGTGATTCTCCTCTCAGAGCCCGGCTGGAGCATCCGAGCCAATGACAGGGAATATTGCAATCAGCCCCAGTTCAAGAAGAAGGTCTTTCTGTGCATCAAGAAAAGCAAATATTCTGTAAGTGAATCCATTGCTATTTTTAGTAAAAACCTGAAATATCTGTTTGCACACTACCGGTTTGGAATAATTAAGATTTTTTGAATGCTTCTAAAAGAAGTGTCTTTTGCTGCATTTATTTGATGAAAATACATAAAAAATTGTGAAATATTATTACAATGTAAAATAACTGTTTTCTATGTGTATATATTGTAAAATGTAATCATCAGCATCATTACTCCAGTCTTCAGTGTCACATGATCCTTCAGAAATCATTCTAATATGCTGATTTGCTGCTCAAGAAACATTTGTGCTGCTTCATATTTTTTGAAGAGTAAGAGTAGGTGATTTTTTTAAAATATAAAAATGTGTACTTTTATTCAACAAGGATGTGTTAAATTGATCAAAAGTTTATATTCATCAAATAATCCTGAAAAAAGTATCACAGTTTCAACCAAAAACAAATAATAATAATATAAAAAATAATAATCATAAGAATAATCATTAATAAATGAGAACCAATAATAATTAAGCAGCAAATTAGCATATTAGAATGATTTGTGAAGGATCATGTGACGCTGAAGACTGGAGTACGGGCCGCTTCCCAGGGTTCTCTGGAGGAGCCAGATGACGAGGTGGTGCCCTACAGTGACGACGAGACAGACGACGAGTTACAGTCGGAAGATGATCTGGATCGCAGAGAAGACCAGCTCCCAGAACCGGAAACCATACCCGCACCTGCCGCCGGTGAGCTTGAGGACGGATCTGGTGTGAAAGTGTCCCGTCAGTACTTGTTCTATGTCCTGATTGTGATTCTCCTCTCAGAGCCCGGCTGGAGCATCCGAGCCAATGACAGGGAATATTGCAATCAGCCCCAGTTCAAGAAGAAGGTCTTTCTGTGCATTAAGAAAAGCAAATATTCTGTAAGTGAATCCATTGCTATTTTTAGTAAAAACCTGAAATATCTGTTTGCACACTACCGGTTTGGAATAATTAAGATTTTTTGAATGCTTCTAAAAGAAGTGTCTTTTGCTGCATTTATTTGATGAAAATACATAAAAAATTGTGAAATATTATTACAATGTAAAATAACTGTTTTCTATGTGTATATATTGTAAAATGTAATCATCAGCATCATTACTCCAGTCTTCAGTGTCACATGATCCTTCAGAAATCATTCTAATATGCTGATTTGCTGCTCAAGAAACATTTGTGCTGCTTCATATTTTTTGAAGAGTAAGAGTAGGTGATTTTTTTAAAATATAAAAATGTGTACTTTTATTCAACAAGGATGTGTTAAATTGATCAAAAGTTTATATTCATCAAATAATCCTGAAAAAAGTATCACAGTTTCAACCAAAAACAAATAATAATAATATAAAAAATAATAATCATAAGAATAATCATTAATAAATGAGAACCAATAATAATTAAGCAGCAAATTAGCATATTAGAATGATTTGTGAAGGATCATGTGACGCTGAAGACTGGAGTAATGATGCTGAAAACTCAGCTTTGATCACAGGAATAAATTACATTTGATAATATATTCACATAGAAAACAGATGTTTGAAATTGTAATAATATTTCACAATTTTTACTGCATTTTTGATCAAATAAATGCAGCTTTGGTGAGCAGAAGAGACTTCTTTCAAAAACATAAAAAAAATCGTAATTATTCCAGACTTTTGACTGGTGTTATATATGGTAAAGAATTTTATTTTATGCTTTTATTTTGGGGTGATGTGATGTGGTGCTTAAAGTGAGCTTATAAGCAAAAGTCTATGATTGTGTCTTTAAGACGCTCAACTCTAGAGATTGTCCTGGTAAATACTGCGAGCATCCTCGGATAATTCCCACTGCTTACTAACACTAAACGCTTGCATGCTGGATTTTCCCACTGTTTACGCCACAAACAGTGAGTGTTTGAAGCGGCAAGGTGTTTTCATCTTAAACTAAAGGACCATGAAAGTGAAACTATAATTTTACTATACCATAATCATTATCTTGATATATGTTTCCTCTCATACAAGCTTTACAATCATTGTACGAATTGGTCAAACCCGTGTTCAGATTAACATATACACTTTTATTTTTCTGAGAAGGGACTCTGAAATGTTACTGTATCTGTTTTTCTCTGTTAAATGTTTAATTTGTAGTCAAATAAATCACGAATCACCTTTGAATTCACCTGAAAAACAACAACGTCACACAGTTTAGCTTCAAAGGTGACATTTCTGCGTATTGATTGCACTCATGGTTCATAGTTCTACTCATAGTGACTTAACAAACATTGCAAGTCAATCTTAGTATCACACTTCAGTCTGAGACATTTATATCTTTGGAAACACCATAAAATTAAGTAACACGTCATGCATTTTGTTTGCAATTCATCTCTTATCTGTTTTGTTGTGTTAAATAACTCTTAACACCTTGGGGCTTGGCCTCTATTATGGTCTAAACTAAGAGTTTTATGGTCATTTTCTTACATCATTTACATGTTAAACACGCAACAGCTCTGTTCAGAATGGTGGAGTTTAAGATCTTTGGTATGACAATTATCTAAGACTGGATAAACGAGTCCTTCAGGGTCAAATGTCTCAAGGTTTGCCGTGTATCATGTGTTCTGCGTGAGATATAAGCAGCGATGACTGGATTTGTCTTGAGGTTGAAATGTTACCCTACGAGAGCTGATATAGATGTGTTGTGATTTACATTTATGGAAATCAGTTGGGTTTGGTAACTAAAATTTTGAACGAGAAAGAGAGAGTGAATGGAACTGAAATAGAGAAACCGAAAAATAGGATCTAAAATAGAAAAACAGGCAAATGAATTGCAGAAACACATTGAATCAGACTCATTAATATGTAACAGTGGAATTGAACCTGTATGGAAGACTGTTTCTGCCACGGGATAAAAAAAAAATAAAAGTAATTTCGACTTTTGATGTCACAATTTAGGCTTTTTTTTTTTTTTTTTTGAAGTTCTGAGTTTGTGTCTCGCAATTCTGAGAAAAGAAGTCAGTATTCCAAGATAAAAAGTCACAATTCACTTTATGATTATAATTTTTTAATCCATGGCAGTGAAAAAAAAATTTAAACACAGAATTGTGGCATGTCGAGTCCAATAAAAAATTTAAAATTGCATTAACATTTATTGATATAAATAAATATGATATTATAATAATTAATTCTATATTTAAAAATATTTTTTAACAAGTCTATTAAAATATAAAATTAATTACTAAATATTTTTAAGAAAATTTCATGTTCTCATTTTATGAACTGTATGAACATATGATGTGAACTTCAGTCCTCAGAATCGCAGAATTCAGTGAAACATTACAAAATTGCAAGAAATAAACTTGACAAACGTCAAAATTGTAAGATGTAAAAAAAAAAAAAAAAAAAATCTGAGTATGTGATATAAACTCATAATTTTGAAGAAAAGTCAGCATTGTGCGATTGTCGCAATTGTTTTCTATTCTATTCTATTCTATTCTATACTTCCATGAAATCCTTAACCCAGATCTGAAGACAAGTTTTTATTTAGACTTTTGATTTTTGATAAAAATTCTTAAAGTTTCAAATGTATTTATCTGCTATTCCAGCCTCATAATTCAGAAAGCTCCTGAGAAACTAGTCGGCATTATTTCACAACTAACAAGCTTTAAACTTACTGAAGAGCCTTGGGTTACATGAGAAGCCATTTTCCTTTACAAAGCCTTGAATTTCTCTGTGAAATATTGATGTATTATTTCACATTCAGCACGTAATGTTTTATGTAAAGCATATCTTAATTGTGATAATTCACAATTCAGTCCTTTTGGGATGAGAACTTGCAAAAATAAAATTGAAGTTGCAAAAACTTAATGTTTTTACACCAGTTTGATAACTTGAATTTCTTTTCATTTTAAGGGCAATGCAATCAAGACCTACAAATACAACGTCTTCACCTTCCTGCCGCTGAACCTGTACGAGCAGTTTAAGAGAGTGGCCAACCTCTACTTCCTGTGTCTGCTGATCCTGCAGGTAGAAACCAAGCGGCAACCTCCCGCTCTCTCTCGTGAAGCCAACACGGAAGTGACTTAAACTGTAATTCGTCAACTGGCCGCTAGAGGCTGGCTGCAAAAGGGAGTCAGTCCCATAGACTCCCCATGTTAAAATGCCCAACTTTACAGCAGAAAAAAACATGTTTACATTCTGGTTCAAAAAGTGGTTTTGGTCTATATAGCTAATTTTGCCCTTCATGACAACTGTGAGGGTGGTGAATTTATTTATAACTCATCCGTTTAAATTATATTAAGCCTTAAAGTTCTGCATAATTAGGGGCGTGGCCACTTGAGTGACAGGTGGATTGCCGCTGCTGTCACCACCGTCGAGCTAGGTGGGCGTGGTTTCAGCAACCAGCTCCCGCCTCTTTGCCCATTTTCGATTATCCGGGAGTGACGATCAGGGCTCGTATCACCATATTGAGATTTCTTTTGTGATAGTGACCTAACTGTGCGTTACACTTATTTAAAAAATAAACCGTTACAGAGACATCATGAAATCATTTGTGTTGCACTGATAAATAAGATATTTATTATTTATTTATGAAAAATTTATGATTTATTATAATTATTTATTACAAATTTATTATTTTTTTAAATTATTTACATCTGTTGCTCAGCATATATACGTTGATATAAGTATGGAAAATATATAAAAAATATTATAGAATGAATTATTAAATCGTTTTTTAGAAAAACGGTTGATTTCAGTTTCATGTTGTCATTTTACGAATAATATGAACATATGATATGAACTTCAATCTGTTTTCATATGTCAGGTCATTCAAAATATATGAAATATAAAGTAGATTTATATAAAACTACATATATTTAGTTTTATTTATATAAATAAATACAATTAAATTAAATGTGTGTACTGTGTATATTTATTATGTATATATAAATACACACATGTGCATGTATATATTTCCGAAAAAATTTTTATGTTTATATATTAAATATATTTATTTATAATATAAATAATATTTTCAAAATATATACTGTATGTGTGTGTCTTTATATATACATAATAAATATACACAGTACACACACGTATATCATGCAAACAAAAACTGTTATTTTGTATGCGATTAATCGCAATTAATCGTTTAACAGCACTTTGGTGCTTTTGGATTTGGTGTTGTTATATGAATATGAATCCATGTGTTTGAATGTGTCAGATCATTCCTCAAATCTCCACGCTGCCGTGGTACACCACCCTGGTGCCGTTAGTGCTGGTGTTGGGCATCACTGCCATTAAAGACCTGGTGGATGACCTGGTGAGTCCCTGCCTGTGCTTTCTGGTGGAATGGTTTTTTTGAAAGGCAGCCATTGATTGTCAGGATCTGCTAATGGTTTCTGTCATCTGATATGTGTCTCGTTGAAAGGCACGACACAGGATGGACAAAGAAATCAACAACAGAAGGTGTGACGTGCTGCTCAATGGCAGGTGAAGACCGAACTTTAATCTGCTTTAATACTGAAGTGCATGAGATTAGTGCTCATGTTTGTCAGTGAAAAAATATTATGTAAACGTAAGGCTGAATTCTCATTTTTCAGGTTTGAAAAAACCAGATGGATGAACCTACAAGTTGGTGACGTGGTCAGACTAAAGAAAAACGATTTTATCCCGGTGAGTTATGTTTAAATCTATTTGCCTTCCTGTTGAGATTTTTTATTTTATTTTATTTTATTTTATTTTATTTTATTTTTAATGTTTGATCCATGTGCCATTTGAGTGTGGTCTTCATCTGTTGTAGAGCATTTATACATTATACAAATGTAAATAAAAAAAATAAAAAAATAAAATTATACATTAAAATAAATAAACTGATCTGTTAAATTAAAAATTTTTTTCTAAGAGACGTGTAGGTTTGCTGTATGCCATTTTAAATACAAATATATATTTAATGAGATATACATAAAATAAAATAATGCAAATTAAAATATTTAACTGATATAACGTATATATATTTTGAAATATTTTATAAACTATTTTACATTTTTATTTCAATATTTTAATGTTTATAATATTAGTGAAATATCCACTTTAAGAAACCTGAAGTATATCTCATTATTGTCTATTTTAAGGAGGGCCTGATTGTTTTATGCTTGTTTCTGGGCTTTTCCCTAATTGTATGTATCCTAATCGTTAATAATTCTATTGTTATTACATTACCTTGAATATTCATTTGGTTTCATGTCATGTTTATGCTCCATCCTGCATTTAGTTTGTTAATGTATGTGTTTCTTCATCCCTCCAGTCACTTCATTCATCTGTTAGGTGTCATGCTTTAGTTGGTTTCTCATTTTCACCTGTGTTTTGACCTCACGTAGGCCGATATTCTGTTGTTGTCCAGTTCAAATCCCAACAGTCTGTGTTATGTAGAGACGGCGGAGCTCGACGGGTAAGAGACACATTAAACACACAGCAAGCCACGCATCAGTTTATTAAGCCTCTGAATCACACTCTTGCATATTTCCACACTTTTAACACATGATGCCTATTTCTGTGATGATTTTTTACAGTAGTCATAATCGACTTGTTCTAGCCACAACCATAAAACCAATTCTGCTTGCATGAATCAGTTTTTGTGTAATTTGATGACTTCATGTCAGCATTATGAACGGTCATTAAAGTGCTCGGACATGATTCATAATGGGAGTTGTGTAATGGATTTGTTCTTTGTCTCGTACACTTCAGTCCAAACACAATCGCTTTATTTTGCTTTCTTTACGTACAAAAGAATCATAATTCAGGTCCTGGCTTTGTTTGTCTGTGAACTTTTGAATGGCTTCATTTATATAAAAAATGTAATTGATATCATTAAAAATGTAATATTTAAAATATTTTATAAGTTTTTAAAATGCAAGCCTTGTTTTAAAATGAGAAACCTGAAGTATTTCACATTAGTCTATATTTGAAGGTTTATAGATCCTAATTATGAAACATTTGATTGTCATTACACACACTTGAATATTAATTTGCTGTCATGTCATGTTTATGCTTGCTTTTTCTCCATTTTTTACATTTTTAGTCCATTTGTTTAGTCCAAACACAACAAAAACACAACACATTTTGTCTTTCACATACAATAGAATCATAATTCAGTTCCTGAGTTCGTCTGTCTGTTTAAATTGTTTCATAAATATTAAAATACTTCATTTGATATTTTTTATATTTTATAACATTTTTATTTTCATTAAAATCTTTGAATGCTTAAAATATTATAATATTAGTGAAAAATCTACAGCGAGAAACCTTAAATTTATGAATTTCACTGTGTTTGTGGATCCTAATTCATTACACACACCTTAAATGTTCATTTGCTGTCATGTTTATGCTTGCTTTTCCTCTGTTTTACATTTTAAAGTATTTTTACATTTAATTTGTTTAAATACTCTTGCTTAATTTAGTTTTTTACATACAGTAGAATCGTAATTCAGTTGCTGCGTTTGCCTGTCTGTGTACTTTTCCATTGTTTCGTAAATATATAAAATTTTAAATATTAAATATTTAATTGATAGAATATTTCACTTTTAATATTTTATAAAAGCTTTCTCATTTTAATGTTAAAAATAGTATAATATTGGTGAAATATTCTCTGCAAGCAACTTGAAGTTGAAATAAAATGTATATAAAAATTAAAATAAATACTGAATATAAAATAAAAAATGTAAAAATTAATATATAAAAAAAAAACAATAAATAAAATAAAATATAATATTGAAATTAAATGTATATTTTTCATCGTTTCGTGAAAGAGGATTGGAGTTGGTTTTAGTGCTTCTTGTTGTCAAATGACTTTTATTAATGTAGTTTCTCATTGTCCAGAGAGACGAATCTGAAGTTTAAGATGGGTCTCAAGGTGACTGACGAGCGTCTTCAGGAGGAGAATCAGTTGGCCCGGTTTAATGGTGAGTGTTACACCTATTATAGGAGAGTTGACAGACTTGGACACAGATCATTTGTGTGCGAGTAGTTGCTTGATTGTGATTTTCCATGCATAAACACGTGTTGGCCTTAAACCATGTGCTAACCAGTAGGGCTGGGTTTTGACATAAATTTCACGATTCGATTTGATTCTCATTCACAAGCTTGCGATTCGATTACCGATTCTATTCAATAGCGATTATTTTGGATATATATCAGTAGGCTACATGCCAAATTTTCTCAAGGAAAAAAAAAATCTCTCAACTAATGCTATAAAATATACATGAGAGTCAGTTGGTACTACATTACTATAATATTGAAGGTTAAAATTGACTGATTTGTTGGCTATACAACTGCTAAAATTACAGTTTTTAAAATAATAATGTTACAATTACGTAATATTTCTACTTCAGTTAGTTTTTTTTAAATGGGATATAAACATTTAAATGGTGGCTGTCATGAAAACTTAATGGATTTATTCAAACATAAAATAAACATTGAAGAACTGTAAAAATTATAATGAAAATGTTATATGGTGCATATATTTAACAAAATGCCCCTCTCTACAGTTTATTTTTCTATTTGATTAATGAGTTTATGGTCACCGAATATGTGTTTTTATATTAAAAGTACCAAAGCACAATGCTTATTGCAATTTATTGGATGGGAGGTGCGTTTCAACGTTCCGTCCATTAACTGAAAACAGGCTAGACTAATCGATTCTTGGGATTTAAGAATCTATATCGTTACATAATAATGAGAATCGATTAAAATCGAGATATCGATATTTTTTACCCAGCCCTACTAACCAGGTGCGGCTCATGAATATCCAGCATCCAGCATAATTTTTCTGTCCTCACTAAAAACAAAATGCTGCAAAATGAGTGCTCAAGATTTGAAACCAGTGCAATTTCGAAACCAAGCAACTGGCAATGTTGTTAATGCTTCCATGTAACCATCCAGAGAATTTGCAGTGCAGTTTCTCGTTTTGTGTCTTTCTCAGCGTTGATCATGTGTGAGGAGCCCAACAACCGTCTGGATAAGTTTGTGGGAACGATGATCTGGGACGCTCAGAGTTACCCGCTCGACCTGGACAACATGCTGCTCAGAGGATGCAAGATTCGCAACACGGACGAGTGCCACGGCCTGGTCATATTCGCAGGTCAGTTCACTTCGCCGGCCGACACACTCTCACGGTCACGGTTCGGCGTGTGTTTGTGTTTGTGACAGCAGCTGTGATGTTGCATTCTACAGGAAATGACACTAAAATCATGAGGAACGGAGGGAAGACCAGGTTCAAACGCACCCTGATAGACAAACTCATGAACTACATGGTCTACACGGTCAGTTAAACACAGTTCACTGACACCCACAAGTCATTTCGAGATTTTATTTGACATTTTTATTTATATTTACAGAATTTTATTTATTTATATTATTTATTATTTTTATTTATATTGCTATGTATACACAATGTATGCTATTTATACATTGTGTATTTATAGAGGTTTGTTTTATTACTTTATTTATAGAGGTGTATATTTACAGAGAGTGCGGTTGAGTTTATATTTAGTTATACAAAGTGATTTATAGAAGTTTATTTCATTTATTTACAGAGAATGCACTCATATAATGTATTTATTTTTATTTATAGTGCTTTCATAATTTTATTTGTCTATTATTTTGTTTATAGAGAGTGCATTTATAGAATTTTGTTTATTTTATTCAGTATGTTTTTTATTTTTAGTTGTATATATTTATAGAGAGTGCATTTATATAGTTATCATTATTTATTTTGCATTTGTATTTTAACTTTTATTCGTGTTTTTATTTATACAAAAAAGTGAATTCGGATTTATTTATTCTTTTTTATTCATAGAGAGTGCATTTATAGAGTTTGTTTATTTATATATTTGTATTTATTTATAGAGTTTGGGTTTTTATTTATTAATCTTATTTACAGAGAGTGCATTCTAGTTTGTTTATTTATTTATTTATAGAGTACATGGTATAGAATTTTTTTCTTTTTCTTTATATAGACCATTTGTAGAATTATACATTGTGTATTTATAGAGGTTTGTTTTATTACTTTATTTATAGAGGTGTATATTTACAGAGAGTGCAGTTGAGTTTATATTTAGTTATACAAAGTGATTTATAGAAGTTTAATTCATTTATTTACAGAGAATGCAGTCAATGCACGTATACAATGTATTTATTTTTATTTATAGTGCATTCATTATTTTATTTATCTATTATTTTGTTTATAGAGAGCGCATTAGAATTGTATTTTATTCAGTATTTTTATTTATAGAGTGAATTTATAGTTTATTAGTCTTATTTACAGAGAGTGCAATTTTTAGTTGTATTTATTTATAGAGTACATTTTATATTGTTTATCCATTTTTTTTAATCATTATTTGTTTATATTTTCACTTTTATTTATAAGTGCATAGTTTATCTATTATTTTTGTTTATAGAGAGTGCATTTTTCTTTATTATATTCAGTATTTTTATTTATAGAGTGAATTAATAGTTTTATTTATTAATCTTATTTACAGTGAGTGCATTTATAGAATTTTGTTTATTTTATTCAGTATGCTTTTTTATTTTTAGTTGTATTTATTTATAGAGAGTGCATTTATATAATTATCATGATTTATTTTGTATTTGTATTTTTACTTTTATTCATGTTTTTATTTATACAAAGTTCATTCGGATTTATTTATTCTTTTTTATTCATAGAGCGTGCATTTATAGAGTTTGTTTATTTATATATTTTTATTTATTTATAGAGTACATAAAAATATTTATAGAGTTTGTGTTTTTATTTATTAATCTTATTTACAGAGAGTGCATTCGAGTTTTATTTATTTATATAGTACATGGTATAGAATATTTTCTTTTTCTTTATATAGACCATTTGTAGAATTTAATTTATTTATCATATTTATTGTGCAAGTTTTATATATTTGTTTTTATTTATAGGTAATGCATTAATAGCCTAATAATACAATGCAATAAATCCTTTCTCATCTTGCACCCTAATATATTCTCATCTCTCTCTGGTTCTCCCTGTAGATCTTTGTGTTGTTGGTTTTGTTGTGCGCTGGTCTGGCCATCGGACACACGTACTGGTACGAGAGCATCGGCTCTAAGGCCTGGTATCTGTACGACGGCCTCAACTACTCTTCATCTTACCGAGGCTTCCTCAGTTTCTGGGGCTACATCATCATCCTCAACACCATGGTGCCCATTTCTCTCTATGTGAGGTACGACAGCAGGCTCTCCTCCGCTCTCTGAGCACACAGATGGCATTGTTCTTCAGATAACTCACTGGTTTCTGTTCTCTCAGCGTGGAGGTGATCCGCCTGGGTCAGAGTAAATTCATTAACTGGGATCTGCAGATGTACTACGCTGACAAAGACACGCCGGCCAAAGCCAGAACCACCACGCTGAACGAGCAGCTGGGCCAGATCGAGTACATCTTCTCTGATAAAACCGGCACGCTCACGCAGAACATCATGGCCTTCAAGAAGTGCACCATTAGAGGACGCACTTACGGTGAGACAAACCACCAACCTTGCTTTTAGAGGAACATTCTAAGAAAGCTATAATTTCTTATCAAAATCTTATTTGGTACACCAGTTTCTAAATAATCAGCATAATCAAAACTTGTTGTACACAATAGTGTTATTATAGCTAAAACTAAAAAACCATTAAAAAAAATTTTTAGTTGATTAAATTAAATGGTAAAATGAATGGAAATAAAATAATATATATAAGAAGCTAGTTGCCAAGGCAATATTTCTCATTTTTTAGAATTAGATTATTAGATTATTTAATTATTTAATTTAGATTAACTTAATGTACTGAAATAACTAAAACTGAAATAAAAATAAATAAAATCTATATAGACATTTAAAAAAAACGAATAAAATTTAAACAAAATAACTAAAACATTAAAATTAAAATGCATATGTAAAATATAAAAATACAAATTAATTTTAAATCTTTATAAAAACTATAATAATGAATTCTCTCGTCTGATTGCTTCTTTTTTTATCAAGTAAAAGTCATTTTAGTGTAATTATACAAATATTCACCTTCAGCTCATGATTCATGTGTCTTTTTACAGTGAAATCTGTTTTTTATAAAGTAAATGTAAGAATAGCTTTGATATTGTTAGTAATATTTCAAAATGAACACTGGGCTGAAGCAACTTAGGTTTACTTGATTATCCAGATGTCATTTTTTAGAAAAAAGTGAATATGATCACCAAGCTTTTGAGGAACGTTTATTTGTTCTTATCTCTCAATCATCATTGGATTGCATTGCATTATATGTTTTGATAATTTAAATCCCATCTTACTAAGACATATTATTGGAGATATAGAGTGACAACTGATATTTATATAATTTTATGTAAGTATCTGCTATACTGTTAGAAACATCTTTTTGTCTATATAAAAATCATCATCTGCACCAAATTGCATATTTTTGCTCAGTTTGTGCCTCAGAATAAAATTAACGTGTTTTTTCCTCCATATTCTAAATTCTCCATTTCTAAACCATCAGTCCACAATTTTCCACACCACAATCTGTCAAGCACATCTTACCAGTTCACATCCTTCTCTTCACTCTCTGAGGCAGAAGTCCTTCAAAAGTCTTCAAGAGTCCCTCCAAACTCATCCTTTCTAATCATCCTACTACTTGTCCGCTTGATCCTATTCCATCTCATCTCCTTTAAGCCATTTCTCCTCTAACACTAGCTTGCTCTATTCTTTTTCTATTCTATCTGTTTTCTTTTTATTTATTATATAATTTAAAAAAAAACCTTGCTACGTGTACTGTGTTAAGCTAACTGAGACTTGTTATAGCACTTGTATATCATTGCTCTTTTGTTGATTTTGATTGCTTCAGTTGTCCTCATTTGTAAGTCGCTTCGGATAAAAGCGTCTGCTAAATGATTAAATGTAAATGTAAATATTCTCACTTTATCATACTATATGAGCCATAAAAGCCTGATTATCAAATATAAGTATAACTTCAATAAACTGTTCCATTTAAAAAAATTATGTTTTTCTAACTACTATTTGACATGTCAGGCTTTACAGGGTTAAAACATGCAGTCAAGTTGAGTGAAATTTAACCACTTGTTATTGAGGTTTTATCTTTTAAAGCATTAGATGCATTTAAATCAAGTATGAAAAGAGCTGATGCAAGTGTTGAATGTATTTGGATGAGTGTCAAAGGCGTGTCATGTCTGATCGGATATAATCCTTGGTTTATATGGTTTATATGGCCCAGCTCACAGCCCTCACGTTTGTATTTGTGACTCCAGAGATGTGTGTGTGTGACTGTGGGGTGCCTCAGTGTGTGAATGTGGGAGAGATTTGAGGCTTTAGTTTCACACAGGTCAGGTTTCTGACCTGGATGAGATTAAAACACGCTGACACCTTCGACCTTGCCATGAAATAACTTGATATCATCTGTTTTACGCTTCAATAGCACTCCTTTTCCTTAATTACATTACATTATTAGAGGCTATTACAGTTGCTCATGCTTATAAACCTCTAACAGTGAGTATTAAATGAGTGACTCGTATTTGAGACGGCTTGTTAAGTTAAAAGGTATCTTGAGAAGTCTCATTCCATGCTGTCTGCACTCAGAAGTGTGCTTCAGTGCGTTATCTAGCGCTGTTTAAAGTGCTATTATTTTAAAGTGTTATTGCTTTAATAATTACGTGAACTAAATTAGCGTGATTATTGACAGTGCTCTGTGTTGATCTATAGGTGATCCCACCAGTGCAGACGGTGTGGCCTTGGACCGTGGAAAGGTACGTATGCAGAATGCGTTTATGGAGTTTTATTTATTTACTTATTTATTTTATTTATTTACTTATTTATTTTTTTTATTAAAAAATAGTTTATTTATTTACTATGTCATTTTTAATACATGCAATGCATATTATTTTATATTTTAAATACAAGTTATTTTTTATTTCTAAAGAGTACATTTATGTAGTTTTATTGATAGACTAATTGATTTTTTTTTTTTTATTCACAGAGTACATAAACAGTTTTTGCTGAGAGTGTTTATCATTTTATTGATTGATTGATTGATTGATTATTATTTGTATTTATTGAGAGTGTATTTATAGTTTTATTGATTGATTGATTAATTTTATTCTTTTTATTTATAGAGATTATATTTATATAGTTTTATCTATTGATTGATTGAATGATTGATTTTTATTTATTGAGAGTGCATTTACAGTTTTGTTTGTTTATGTTTATTTATTTAATTGTTTTTATAGAGAGTGGATTTATAGGATTTTATTTGTTTTATTTTTATTTATAGAGATTACACTTATTTACTTTTATTCATCGAGAGTGCATTCATAAAGTATTTATTTGATTTATTTATAGAGTGTACATTTATATAGTTTAATTTATTTATTAATTTTAGATTAATTATTAATTTAATTTATAGAGAGTGTGTTTATTAATTTTATTTATTATATATTCAATATATGACATGATTTCATTTAGTTTTAGCTAATGTCATTTTAAGTTATCATTTTAACTTAACGTTTTTTTTTGTCAAAATGTTTGATTGGTCACTGATATTCATTTCATTTTCTCTCCCATTTTTACTCAGCCTGTGGATTTCAGTTGGAATGAGAATGCCGACAAGAAGTTCGAGTTCGAAGACCATTTCCTCGTTTCCTGTATCCGTTCGAAGAAGGATCCGCAAGTACTGGAGTTCTTCAAACTCCTGTCCTTGTGTCACACCGTCATGGTGGAGCAGAAAGAGAGTGAGGAGACAAAAATATCATTATCTGCTGAGTAGGCCTGGGTGATAAAACGGTATCGGTATTTATCGACGGTACACCTTCTTCGATAACGATAGAAAAATTGTTCGATATAGCGCACGATATAGGCACGTACTATGAGTGACTATTGTGTGTTTAACTGTTAAAACCAAAAATATTTGTTGTTTGTCTCAATAAATTGGGTTAATTTAACAATACAGTGGTTAAATGTAAACTCTTTTTTTCTATTGCTTTTTGTTTTAAAAAAGGTTATAAAAAATTTCAATAATTATCGATACCGAACGGTATGAAACATTATATCGTTGATACATTTTTTAGCTATATCGCCCAGCCCTAGCTGAGATTATGCAAAAATAAACCATTGACACAGTAATCAAGCATGTATGCTTTCATCTCAGAATTATTTAGCTTTCCTAATCCTACTTTGTGTACTATCTGATCAAATAAATCAAAAGTACAGAAAAATGCAGCAGATATTATTTAAAGTTAATTTATGTACTGCATATTTTCTCTGTGTTCAGATGAGCTGGTGTACCAGGCCGCGTCTCCTGACGAGGGTGCTCTGGTCACGGCCGCACGCAACTTTGGGTTTGTGTTCCTGTCCCGAACGCAGGACACCATCACCATCATGGAGCTGGACCATGAGGAGACCTACAAGGTGCTCGCTCTGCTCGACTTCAACAGCGACCGCAAGCGCATGTCCATCATCCGTGAGTCCTGCTCCTTCTGTTCTTCACTTCCTGTCTGTCAGTCGCCGTCACCTGTTTCTCACTCTTGTGTGTGTTTGTGTGTAGTGAGATTTCCAGATGGTAGAATCCGTCTGTACTGTAAGGGCGCAGACACTGTGATCTACCAGCGACTGGATGCCAATAGCAAGAATAAAGAAACCACGCAAGAAGCTCTGGATGTGAGTACTAACACTATTAACAAATTCATTTGCATATGTTAATGAGCTTCAGCATGCCATTGCAAATTAAAGGGACATCACATTATTTTTTTCCATGGAATGCAAAGAATTTTTAGAGAATGTTTAATGGAGAATTTTTAAATTACATTTTAAATATTTTAAATGTGTCAAGCTCCAAAAAGTAGAAAAAACACCATAAAATAGCATAAAAGTACTCCAGAAGCAGGGTTATTATATCTAACTAAAACTAAAACCATAAAACCAGGAAAATAAAACTTGATACATGCTTGTGTGTGTATTTATATAAACATAATAAATATACACAGTCTATATTAATCGTTTGACAGCACTACTTGAAATAAAATTTACGTTATCTGAAATAAAATCAAATATAAAACAACTTAAGCTTATTTAGCAAGGCAACATTTCTCATTTTCATTTAGTTTATCTTGATGCACTAAAAAGTAAAACTAAAACTGAAATAAAAATGAATAAAAACTACATGGACTAATTACAAAAAACGAATAAAAGTCTCAAAAACACACAACAAAATCTAAAAAAAAAAAAAATGAAAACAGAAAAACTATAATAGTATCTCATTGGTACTAAAATAATCCCGATTCAAAGTCTCAGTAGACATAGGATTGCTTTTTGTGAGGAACAGACTGTGAAGTTGATGCATCATGTCAGATTTGATGGCATTGACACCAATGATAACTTAATAATTCTGGTTTCATTTTACTGGCATATTAGAGTCAAAGGTTTTTGCAGAGGGGATTTTGGATATCTCTTTTTATTACTCAATAAATCAGAAAATACTGTTAAAAAATAAATTTTCACCATGTTTTTAGGAATAAAATCAGGAAAATTATATATAAACAAACCCCTCAGTAAAAACTTTTAGAATATAGATAAAAATATAACTGTAAATTTTGGTGTATGTATGTGCTGCTGAAGTTGAGAAAAAACTCCTTCAAACAAAAACGGCCTTTAAATATATGTATTGTATAATGTGCAATAATAATATTGAATTATATATGAACAAACCCCTCAGTAAAAACCTTCTGAATACATATAGGAATAAAGATGTACATTTTGGTGTATGTACGTGCTGCTGAAGTTGAGGAAAAAACTCAGCAATTAAAATGATGTATTGTAATTGAAATCTACAGATTAAAAGTGCAATAAGATAAACAATTAAATGTTTTCTTTCCACTATTCTGAAACAGCACATTATGAAAAGCCAAATAGCCCAAAATCTCAAAATTGACTGGTGAATGAAAAGTTTTTTCCTCTAGTTTCTCGCTTAAAGCAGAAGAATAGCATGCATTGTGTGCTAAACGGTTGGATTTCTCTTTCAGATCTTTGCGAACGAGACGCTGCGAACTCTGTGTCTGTGCTATAAGGACATCAGTCAGGCGGAGTACGACGCCTGGTCTCAGAAACACCAGGCCGCCAGCGTTTCGATGGGGAACCGTGAGGAGGCTCTGGACGTGCTGTACGAAGAGATCGAGAAAAACCTTCTGGTAGGGAAATAAGAAAGGAAAATCAGTATTCATTTCAGGGAAGTGACTAGTGATCGATTGATATATTAGTCAGGCTCATTAACCTGCCAGTGTTTGGCTAATTGCTGTTGGCTGAGAACAGACACTTTTTAGCAGACCCTTTTATCCAAAGTGACTTAAAAGTGAGAATAATATAATATGCTTAATGTTAAAATCTTTTCAAGTGAATTTCAGGTTGATAGTGTTTAAATTATTAATGTAATTTTTTATTAATGATAGTGTTTAATACAATTTCAGCAACTTTGTGAATGTCTACTTTGTTAAATTGTACAAAAATATTTTTATGTCAAATGGTTTGCCTTTGAGATATGTTATGTATAGTTTGTTAATATTAGAAAATATATCATTTTAATTAAAATTTAATATTAAATCGAATGTGCTAATAAACTTAACCTATTATATTATGTATGAAATATATAAAATATATTATACATTTAGTATTACACTTTTGTTATATTACTCATCCTACTAGATATGTGCTATATATCTTACGAACATCTATATTTATTAAAAAGTCATATTAAATTTGTTAAATGGGCTAATACATTTTTTTTGCATGTATGTTTTATATA